AGAAACTTTTTAAGAGGCTCTCAGCCCTTCAAGACTAATGTTTCTGGTATCATCTCTCAGTTATGTCTGTCTTTGGACAGAGCACAACTGAAAAAATAATGAGAGATGCCCAGTCTCAAGGAACAGCCGCCTACAGTTGTACCTCCCTTGCACTAAAGAGCGGGTATCAGTGATAATACCGATGCCAGCACAACCAATGGCTGCAGGGGCTGGGTAAATTTTGGGCCTGGCCCGGAGGCACAGCCAGAGGGAGAAAGTTTTCATTCTGTGCCACAGCAGAGGTGAACAAAAACTTAGAGAGTTGAGTTACTAATGGGTATTAACTGAAATTGAGATATCTGGAAGAGGCATGGCACATGGAACTAGAACAATCTACCACCATGGACTAAATAAAGGATTCAGTTTGTAATTCCAACAAATATCGCCTGAAGAAGAATGGATCATACAATAATCGAAACATCATGATAGCAATAAAGATGGGGGCAACAGTCTAAATGATGTAAATATTGTAAATAGTTACAATACCTCATAAATATAGACAGATGTTAATTATATTTGTTGATGAGCCGAGATGAAATTTAGAAAACAAAATTCAGATTAATGACTCTGTGGTGATGTTATGAGGAATTAACTGATATGAATCATGAAATGGGAAATGTGTTTTGTTTGATTTTTTTTTTTTCCATTTTGATTTTAAATTTTAAGAAACAGCACTGAGAGAAAAGCTCACTGTTCCAGATTTATTTTTATGAAAAAATTTTTATTTGCGAAACGAATACAGCCATTGGAATTTAAGCAAATTTTTTTGTTTTTTTTTTTCGTCTTTTTTTTTTTTTGTAAATTTTATAGCAGGGACACTTTGGTGCCCCAGAGTCCATTCAAAATAGTACAGAGAACATATCTTCTTTTCATCATCAGCGGAGAAACTTTTCTTCGCACTTGAAAAATTTTGTTAAAACTTTTTCATGTTCCTTATTTTTCCTTTTTTTTTCTTTTTTTTTCTTTTTTTCCCTATTTTCAAGGTCAGCAGTCATTGCCAGCAGCAATGGGATTTAATGGGAACGAGCAAGGAACTGGTTGAAGGAAAAAAGGAGTTGGTAAGAAGAGGGGAAAAAAAAGAAGGAAGTTCGTAAAAATGAGGAATGAATTGGAGGTAACAGGTAATGATATGAAATTGCGAAGAAAATTCATTTGTTTTCTAAACCTTAAAGTTAGAAAATAATTCCTTTTTCAGTTTTTTTTTAATTGTTTTCTTTGCTGAAATTTAAACAATAATAAGGATTTTGCTTAAAGGTATTAATTTTAACATTTAACAATTAAAACTTTTCTTTACACATATTTGGCAAATGTGTAGGTTGGTATATTGGTGAGCAGGTTTTGGAAATCATTGGGTAACTACAATCAGATAGTTTCATTATCTGTAGCTGTGTGGCGTGGTGCTTATTATATACTAGTATAGGCCGAAAATTACAAGACAAAAAAAATTCAAAAAATCTTAAACACGAAACGAAAATGTACGAAACAAAGGAATGCAGGTTGCAAAGCTAATAAAAGCAATTTTTTTTGTTTTTCTTGAATTTCGAAAGGTGTTTTTGAAAAAAAAAAACAACTTTTTAAAGCACTTAACTATTCCATTTGGAAATAATCCTTTAAAAAAAAATTAAATTTCAATGCGTAAAAGGGGAAATTTTTATTCTTGAATTTTGCTTTTTTTTTTTTTTTGTTCGACTCACTTTTCTTTTCTTTTTTTTAAGATTAACATATTTGTGTTTTTGTTACAAAACCTCACCTCCTTCTTTTTCTTATCACACAAGGATTTTTTGGTGATTAAGCTGGGAAGGAAATATGAACAGGGATAGAGAAAGCAGTTCTAAATTCAACAAATATTTAAACAAAGTTTTTGGTTTTGATTAATAATTTCTCTCTTTGGGATCTTTCAGAGCAGACTTAAACAATTCAAATTCACCATAGTCTAGATTACAGTTCATTTCCACTCTAAACTCTTAGCTTATTTTTTCAATTATTTTTTTAAGGTTTAGACTTTTTTTTCTTTCTTTATTCCCTGCTATGAACCTTTTAATAGATTTTATTTTTACTTCTGTATAAAACCCGTTTTTTGATGGACCTTGCTTGAAAGGTATAGAGAAATTTGCAATTATAGCTAGCAGTTATCAGGAAGGGTAAGTTTTACAATTTTTCTTTTAATCCTTTCAATAGAGTATAATTAAAATTTCCAGATAGTTAATTCTTCTTCATCTTGAGATGTACTTCAACTCATTAACTGCACAATCAGATACAGGTGGAGAGAAAAAACAAGTGACAACAGAACGGTATCCAGGAGTTATCACCTGCCCACCTCCCATAGCATGATTAAACTCTTGAATGAGGTGGCATTCTTTACAGAGCACCTTCTGCCATCAAGTTCAGCCTAGAGTTATATTTTAACTAAATAAAGTTATTGAAAGTATCTTTTCCACATCTGTTTTATGTTTTTCTTTTCAAATTATTTACTGTTTTAGTTTATTTCAGTTCGTTTAGGTATATAGCTTAGCACAAGTGTGCACTTCAACAGCTGTGATTGTATCCTGAATATATTTTATATGAAAATATAAAATGTACCTTTTTATGGTAACAGTATAGATTCTCAATAAACTTTATAGTAGAGTTAAATTATATCTTAAAGGCAGTTAAAAATATTCCTGATTTCATATCTAAATCAATCACTATGAAATATAGACATATATATATATATATATATATATATATATATATATATTTTTTGTTTGAATAAAAAACAGACCACTTTAAGGTTCCATGTAATAAATTATTTCACCACTGCCCTTTTAAAGGGCTCTGGATCATCAGACTTTACTTCCAAATGTAGAATATATATATATATATATATAAGTGGATTTCTTATCCCATATTATTTCTTATGACTCCAAACATTATTTTGTGGATAACCATGTTTGAGGATATAAATAGTTAAATGTCACTGGTCTAAAACACTCGGAATCAGACAGTAGTATCTCTTACAAAGAGAGACACAGGTTATAAAACTGCCAAATATCACATTCTCTTTATTAAATCTCTCAAATGTACAGGCCGGTAGACATAATTTACACTGTTATAAAGATAGTGCATCTACTCAAACATGGGTGTTTACAAAATAACATTTATTTTAGTAGAAAAAAATATATAAATATATATATGTGTGTGTGTGTGTGTGTGTGTGTGTGTGTGTGTGTGTGTGTGTGTGTGTCTAGAACAAACTAAAATACAATAAAATGCTAGCTATTAATACTAGCAAATAATATCTGTAAAATTATATAATTTAGCATGTATCAAATTTAACTAATTTTTACTAATAAAATGAAGACTAGAGCAATAATAATAATTATTATTATTATTATAAAAATCGAAGTAAAAATGCTCAGTACTTATCAAAGATCAACTCCGAGTTTTGTAATTATTCAATCACTCATCTGGACTCTTGACAAGAATGATTGTATTGAACATAGAAAATCCATTTTATATATATATATATATATATTTTTAAATGTAGATTTATTTTGTTATAAAAAAATTTTTATGGCTACATATATTTGCGTTCATATCACTGTTTTTCTTTGTTCTTTTTAATAAACGGTAAGCTCAATAACGACCAGCCTATAACATTTATAGTAATATAAAATAATGTTGGATAAAAAATCTTTAAAAAAATTACTATATAATATATATATATATATATATATATATATATATATATATATATATATATATATATATACATATATATATATATAAGCAGTATTTAGAAAAATATCAAGTTTACAACAATCAAAAGGAAGTAAAGCTCTTATGAATAATGATCTCCCTTTCAAACAATTTAAATTATAAAGACATTTACAATAATAGACTTAAACAGGCAATGATACAGCATTTAAAAATTGTAAAAAAATAATCTACTTGCAAATAATTTGACTAACAAAAATACCTTCTTTTGAAGTATTTCATCACTACATATACATACATCATATATATATATATATATATATATATATATATATATATATATATATATAATATTCAAACTGGAGCAATGTGAAATTTTAACATTACTACAAGGGTTAAAAAAATGGGTTGGTGTTAATTGCTACTACTAATGTACTAAGCTATAGTTATTAGTAAAACTTACAGGAAGTACAAACTACTAACAGTCACATGAAAAAAGATGAACAATTGCAAATTATAAAGAATATTTTCATTGATTTGTTTTCTATATACCCTTTAAGCACCACCATTGACCAATAAACCAAATCCATACATTATAAATGCCTGCATATCAGTTTTTATTAAAAAGATTATAGTCTTTTTCTAACCGTTTTTACATTATATATTAATAATAATATTCTTGTTACTATCAGATGGAATTTTTTTATATATATATAAATCTAAAAAGTTCTATTTAACAAATTAATTTAAAATGATAATTTTTTTTTTCTTAAAATTTCAATAAAAAATGGTGGAGAACAAAATTAGCATAAAAAGATTGATAATTCTCTTATTTTTTTTTTTTTTGTTTTTATGATATTTGGAATTACAAAAAAAGGCTTCTAGGGATTTTTTTTAAAATTTTATCAAAAGACAGTTAAAAAAGTTAGTAAATTAAAAGTATTATATTAGCCGGAAGGAATGGAGAGAACTGACATGTCAGAGCTGCTGTCTTATTTCTTGAAAGAAATAAGATTCCATTGAATTAAAACAAAAGAATTTAGATAACTTTTAGGTTAGGTTCCATCTTTACACTTTTAACCGTTCATATGTATGGCAGGCAAATTTGTACTTCAGTTTTGTCCCTTTTTTCATTTTCCTGTATGTTATGTATCACGCTACATAGCAGAGAAAATGTTTGTTTTGTTTTTAAAAAAAGAAGAAAAAAAAAATGAAATATAAGTATTTTGTCTCTTTTCTTGCAAATCACTGTTCTCATAACATACTTTTTTGTGTCCTGGAGGTTCTGGAAGATGAGGATGTGGTGGTGGTGGTTGTAGTTACTCTACCATCACTGCTGACTTGAGTAGATGTATGGCTGCTGGTATGTGTATCACCATCAACTTTGTCAAGCAAATCATCAAGGTTTTTAGTGCGCCTGGCTACACGGGAAACTCGGCCATAGGATCGTGTACTTGACTCTTCCAAACCTTTTGGCTTTTGTTTTAAATCACCCATTCGGTCTGATAAATTGGTTTTAGAGAGAAGAAAAAGAGAAGAAAAGTTCATTAGAAAATAAAATAGAAAAAAGTTCATTAGAAAGCATCTTATAAAGAAATTGTAAAAAAGAATAAAAAAAATACTAGCAGTAGGTAAGCACATAGTTACCCCCTTGTTGAAGATTCTCTCCCTTGAATAAAGAACTCTCCTAGTCTAAACCTCTATAAATTGTGTTTCTTTTTGTACCAAACTATTTTGTAAGTTAATTACTAGACATTTTGCTGAATGATTTTTGAAAGAGTTAAATTTTTATTGTTCATTTGAAATAACAACAAATTTTTTGACCCCTGAATTCTATTAATTGTTTATTTTTTCCTCGCTTTATTAATTTTCCCTGAATTGATTTTGTTTTAATCACCTTTGTTTAAATTTTCTTTTCTTTTTTTTTTTCTCCCACTCGGCTTTTAGCTGAACTTCCATTATTAATTTTTTGAACGTTCCAGTGTAATGTTTTTCCATGAGATTTTGCTTTTAACTTATATAATATTTTTTGTTGTCTCTGCTTATTTTAAGAATTTTCATTTGACAATGTAATTTTTTTTGACATCAAACATTTATTTTTGCTGTGTTCAAACTCATTTAGTTTGTCCATAAAGATTATTTTACATTTATTTCCATCTTCAATTGTGATCAGTTCTGGTTTCTTTTCCTTTTATTTGTTATTCTCTTCATCTATGGCAAGATTGTCCAGCATTCAGTGCCATATAAGAGAACAGATAACCTATAACAAAAAAGAACTCTTTTCTTTGTTTCTAACAAAATTTGTCCATTTTTGAGCACCTTGCTTAGCTTTTAGAATACTTTTTTCATTAGTCCAATGCATGTTCAAATCTCAGCATCACATTTTCCATCCTCTGCTAAAATTTTTCCCAGGTATTTAAATATCTGCACCTGCTTGATACTGACATCTCAATTTGTAACTTGCATCTTAGTCTTTTCCTTTTGCTAATGACTAGAGTTTCTGTCTTCTTGCAATTGATAGTTAGTCCTTTCTTCAGGCTTTCCTTTACTACCTTGTCTAATAGTACCTGTAGTTTTTCTTCTGTGTTTGCCATCAACATGGTGTCATCTGCATATCATATATTATTAAGAATGTGCCCATTGATAATAAATCCTGGTAGGGCCTGCAGCTCTCTTAGGATAACGCTGGTGTAGATATCAAATAAATCCAGTGTGAAGACCAATAATGTGCAGAGGATTTGTGATGCCTGGGACCACATAATCAAGTAGTCAGGGGACTACTTCAGTCTCGCTTATCAAAACATAGATCCACATTTACACCAGCTTGTAAGACTGTAAGATGCTTGTAAAACAAAGTTAGCATAGATCAATTTCAAAAGCTAAATTTTTATTTCACTCTTTGATTGGATGCCCTCCTGATATGGGTGCCTGGGGGCATTGCTACCTTTGCTCCTACTTCTGCCCATTACTGCTGAAGATATATCCTTGTTTTACACCCAGTAGGTAATTACTATCATATACTCACAGATTAGACTGAGGATTTTCTTTCTTCTATCAACCTAAGAGGACCTGAAGTTTTCTTTCTGAATCAGCTATCAACAAAGTGTCATCTGTGTAACTTATATTGTTCAGATTACATCGACTGATAATAAATGCCTTGTAGGGTCTCCAGATCCCTTAGGATAACATCACTGTAGATTTTGAATAAATCTGGGGATAAGATATATCCTAGTCCTATACCCCTTTCTAGTTTTGCATAGCTACTCAATTTTCTATCTGTATGCAGGTGAATTGCTCCTAATATAAATTCTGGATTATTCTAAGATCATTTCAAAATAGATCAGGTTTTCCAAGCAGTTGAAATAGATCCTTGTAACATACCTCATCAAATGCTTTTATGTAATCTATAAAATATAAGTAAATATAAGTGTACATTTTTTTTTTTTTTTTTACATAGAGGTTTACCTTTTACAAGGCCCAGGGGCCAGTTGAGATAGAGGGTTACGTTTAGGGACCATTTGTGTGTATAGGAGTGGAAGATGATAGTTAACCCTGGTCTTGAACAAGTTAAGATAGTAGTCATTGGGGAAACATCTTGTTGGGAGCCGATTCCACAAGGCAGTGGTTCTCAGGAAGAAGCTGCTTGAGCAGAAATTACTTCACACCAATGGAATATGGAGGGAATGTAGGTGGTTTGCTACTAAGTGACATGGGGCGTGTTCTTGCTGTGAAGTTTTGACTTTGCAGGACCAGGAAATATAGTTTGTCCAAGCACTTTCTGTGAAATTAACAGTACAGCAGCAAGACGCTTGCCACATCCCACCGGTGGGAGAGATTTTGAAGGGTGGAGAATGATTTGTCAGCCACAAAGGCTCGGAAATACTTATGAACTCTATCAAGGCTGGAGAATGAATCTGGGTGGTACCCAACCAAATATGACAACAATGCTCTATTTTTGACCTGATTTGGTTTTTGTAAAGGTGGAGGATAGCAGGAGGAGTCGGGTACTTACTGGAGTGGTACAGGAAACTGACCATTTTTCCAGCATCTTTGGTCATGGGCCGTATGTATGAGTTCTACTTCAGGTCAGGTGTGTGTTTGAGGCCCAACAGTCTTACAAGACACGGTGCTTCCCCAGGAGGACCTCTGTTTATCCTGATTAGTGGCAGTTTTGGATGATGGAATGTAACTAGCTTGGTCTTCAAGTGTTGAATGTAGACAGTCAGTTTTTACCCCATTGCGTACGTTGTGCATGAATGGATGAGAGATCAATCATCTATCCCTTACCATTGAGACGTTCAGGTGTGTGCCTTGTCAGGTTAACCACTTGTAATTTTCAAAACTGCTACTAAGGGACACTCTCTGGACTATAAATACGCTGTGATAACTTTACGTATCAACTTCCTACTTTTTCCACTTACAACATGTAGATCTGTCACAGAGAATGCATTCCCTTTGGGAAATGCATGAACAATGCAACCATGTATGTATGAACATTCAGTCATTACACATACTTTGGACTAAAATGTCTTCACATTCATTTGATATACACATCTTTGCCTTTGTTACTTGTGCACCTTTGTTGTTAATACATTATCATTTGTTTACACATATGTATTGGTTCTTGTTGTTTCTTTGCATTTCATTAATTTTCTTGGCATGGGTAAATCAACTGTTCATTCTGACACCAAAGATCCACACCAATCTAACACTTAAAATCACCTTAGTGTATAGGTTAAATAAGTCTGGTGATAATATATCCTTGTCTTACAGCCCTTTCTATTTTTGTACATTTACGGAATTCATTTTCTATCTGTATGCAGTATAGGTTTTGGGTAATTCTAATATCTTTTCGAAACAGATCTAGTTTTCCTAGAAGTTCAAATAGATCTGTAGGGATACAAAAGATGCTTATCTCCCCTTGGTGGAGATAAGTCACATGAGTCATGTGATAGCCACTTAATGATGTCACTCCATACAGTGATGAAAGCACCGGTCATTTTCAGTTCATTTTCAGCAACCAAATAGTATGGTTGCTTTCTTTAGCTAAGACCCCCATGCATATGGTGCCATTTCCCTTTGGGAATATATCTTTCCCAGATATAGAATAAAACTCCAGCTTGCAGTCCTCAATTTGTGAAAGCCCAAGACACACTGTTACCCATTCATGTAATATATCCTCTCCTGGAACATAGATGAATACAGTCTATTTGAATCTAGCATTCTAAAAATGGCTTCTCCAGGTACAGGAGTATCTCCATGTTATATGTAAGGCCCTTTCTTTTTGTTTCTCCTTACACTCTGCTTTACTGTGTAGATATATGTGAAATATTATTCTCTGTGTGGGACACATGTATATATGTATTATTTTTTTGTATGATATAGCATTATAAAACTCTCTCTGAGAAGTATGCATGCTTGTCATTCTTTTTCTATTCATCTATTCTATTACACCTGTGAAGTATGATATTATGATATCACAGTTATAATAATGCCCATAACAGGGGAAATTCAAGTGGGAGAATAAATCTTACTTCCATAGCAACCTCCTGTTACAGATACTCATACCATATCAAATTCTTTTACTCCATCTATAAAAAGTAAGTACACATCCTCCTGCATTTGTAACAATAGCACATACACACTGTTTATTATAGTAGTATAACTAAAATTCAAAAAATGACTAATAGATTAGCTGAAAGTTTGATACAAATGTTTGTTTATAAGCGAATGTGTTTATAAGTGTTGAGCTACTTACTTTCTACAGTGACCTTGCAACCTGTTTCAATCTGTGCCAGATCATTGGAAGCATAACATGTGTATCTGCCAGAATCTGACATCTCTGCGGTGCTTACTTCTAGGGCACAAATGCCATAAGAAAATGAGATCATAACATGTCCATCACTTTTCAATTCTTTACCATCCTTCATCCAAACAATCTGGAAGAGAAAAAGACAAAAAATGGATAGAAATAGAAAATATTTTGCTATGAATGTTCTTTTAATATGGCTGTTTTTACTTTGTACCATAGCAAAAATCTTTCTTTTTTTTTCTTATTTTTTTATTAATCATTTCACCCCAAGCAAGGCAACAGAGCCACTAACATGCAGGGTGTTACTAAGTGTATAAGAATATTAAGAAAAACATTATTAAACAGCAAGAACAATAAAAGAAAAGAATTTAAGAGGATAGAAGATAACGATTGACATTGTATTTAAATTTTTGAAGATCAAACCTGATTGGAAAGCAAGAAGTCAGAAGAGAGTTCCACAAGTAAGAAGTGTGAGAAAAATTTAGCATAAAATTTACAGTTACATCTAGCCTTTTCAACTGTATGAGGACAAGTCCTCATACAGACCAATCAAGTAATAAGGAGGCAATATAAATAATGAGTAAGCAGGCAGCATAAAAAGCCTGAAAACGAGGCTGTACCATATTTACTTGAGTATAGTGCAAGTTTTTTTGCTTTTTGTTTTTTTAAATCATAGGTTGCAGTATACACAGGTAATTCTTTTGAAGGTATTAAAATCATGCACTTTCAGTGGCTGGTTGCAATATACAGACATAAATTTTTCTGGAGAGGTTAAAATTTACACATTTTTGGTGACCATAAATGCCTGAATTTTAACCTCACTAGGAAGAATTTACCTGTATATAAAGCAACCAGTCACTGAAAAGGCATGATCTTTACCCACTTCAAAAACATGTATACTGCAAACTCAGATTTAAAAAAGAAAAAGAAAAAACACTCTATACTCAAGTATATACGGTACAGCCACATTTTCTGGAGTTTTTTGCTGCCTGCTTACCCAGCATACATATTTTTTGGACAATTTATGAAACAGATCAGAGGTAAATAGCAGAGGAGGAGAAAATTACCATGACTAGTCAAATAATATGACATATTTAGAAAAAGGGATGGATAAAGGTATGTTACTTTCATGTTCTTGACAAGGGTGAAGGCACTGAGTGTAAGTTAGATTCTTTCATTGTTGAACCGAGCCTACATACTCAAATATACAGAGTGTCCATAAAGTTCGTGTGCACTTTAAAAAATTTATAACTTTATTTGTATTTGCGATAGAAATAATCTGTAAAAAATGTTATAAAGTTTAATGTACTTAGTTTTATGTATAGTTATTGAATAATTCTTTACCACAAAATTTGGAACAATTTTTAGGTAAGTAAAAAATATTTTCTTTTTTCCAGATTCTATTTAATCCATGGCTTCAACTGAGGAAAAAGTAAACTGTCTTTGGTTGACTGTACTGAAATCTACTATTGCTGTACAAAGAAAGTTTAGAATTGATTGCAATAAAGAACCACTTCATAGGAACACTATTGCTAAATGGATGAAAAAATTTAAAGAGATAGGCTCTGTTCATGATAAGCCACAGTCTGGAATGTATCAGCGACGAAAGTGTTGCATCCATAGAAAAATCTTTTACAGAAGTCCAAGAAAGTCTGTATGACGTGCATCACTAGAGCTCAGGCTCCCAAAGTCTAGTGTGCATAAGATTCTGCAGGCAAAACTTCACATGAAAACTTACAAAATTCAATTATATCAACAGTTGTTAGAAGAAGATTATTATGCACGGCTAACTTTTTGTCATCAGTTCAATGAAAAATTTGGCAATGATGATATATTTGTGAGTAGTTTACTGTTTTCTGATGAAGCAACATTTCACATTAGTGGCAAGGTCAACATGCATAATTGCCGAATTTCTTTCTAATCCTTTTTACAAATTATTTCTATCGCAAACACAAATAAAGTTATAAATTTTTTAAAGTGCACACAAACTTTATGGACACCCTGTATTTCCCATGTCAAGTGAGCTCTAATTAATCAAGATTATGATATTTGCATCAACTTTTCCAGGAATTTATTTCAAATTCAGAACTTTGACAATTTGGAATCTTACCTTGGCTGCTGGTTTTGCTGTAACACAACAGAGAAGCTTGAATCCGTTACCGACCTGAATCAAGCGGTCACGGAGATCAAACGAGAATGAGGGTGGCACATCTTTTGGTTTTTCAATTGTCCTTTCCTGAGATGGACGGACTTTCCTAGAACACAATTTGAATTAGATTAGCAAATGAAAAAGCATTACTATAAGTGTTAATATCACAAAAATAATTATTATTTCACTTTTAATTCAGAGAGATGTTTTATTAGTTCTTAACTAGTTTTTCTAGATGAATAAAAATTAGTTAAAAAATGAATAATTACACTGCATCTTTTATAAAAAAAAGTAAGACTCATATTTACCACAACTGCTCAGTGATATATCTTTCTTACTAGTCAAAACCGCCCCATATCCATTGGATTTTAAGTAACAGAAGATCTTACTACATCATAAAGATTCAATATGCAGAATTAGTAAATACGTATATGTCAGTGTATAAGGCAACCATTTGATTTAACCTTAAAAAATGCCCCCCTCCAAAAAATAGGGGGCTGTCTTATACTCCAGGTATAAAATGTGAACCTTATTTCCTCTGGTTTATGGTAAGTTGTTAGCAATGGATATTTTTGACAGTAAGCTAACACCAGCCTCACCACATTTTTTTTCGATGCTGTTGAACAAAAACAAAACTGGATGTGTGTCTCAACAAGCCATTTAAAGATCACATTCGAGAACAGTGGAATGAACAAATGGTTAGCAGGGAAAAGTCATTCAGGCTACTGTAATAATGTACCAAAAACGTATCACTCACTCACGAGGTATTGTAGATTGTCATAGTTAATTGACAATATCTCCCCACTGTTTTTCATTAGAATTTGAGTGAAAAGAAAGTATATGCTTGCTTGATTTATTTAATAAATTCAATACAGTACTTTTTAAACTACAATTTTTAGATGATATGGGTTGTCTTGTATGACAAATATAGTTGAAACCGACATTTTAAATTGAAAAATTTGGGGGTTGTCTTATAAGCCTTGTCGCCTTGTACACCAGCATATATGGTACTTAAAATATCTTGTATACATTAATTATAACAAGTTTAGTATAGGTGAAAATAAAAATGAACATACAAGAAACTGTATGAGTTGTTATTGTACCTTATGCCACATTGATAGAGAGTTACTATATTTGATAAGACACATGGGGGTATAAGACGCACCCCAATTTCAGCAGGGTGAATCAAGAAAAAATTAGTAATTAGTAAAATTATGAGTAAATGATACAGTCTAGGCTATATTTATAAGGTATTATTTTGGTTAAAGAAACCATGATTACAATTAAATGAAAAATAATAGAAAAAAAAGAACACAAGCCTATAAAACTTTATTATATCTTTTATATGATCTGTACAACCTGCATCTTGTAAACGTCATATTGGAATAATTAGGATATAAAATTCTGATTGTATTTATACCAATGTAACCAGAAGTCATTGCAAGTAAAATATTAATGAAACAAATATATTTTACAAATATATAATTTGAATTTATTGCATATAATTTTAGTGAAACAAAGTACTAACATTAAACATGATGAAATTAATATAATGAATATTATCAATAATAAACTTTTAATCTGCATAATAGCCTTTTAAATAATGACAATAGGTATATGAAAGTTACTTCAAAGTCTAAGCTAATAGGAGTTGCCAGGTAGCTAATTTTGGCTGGCTATCGTGAATTTTAAACCTATGGCATATGTGACACAGGGGAATTTTAAAAGATATTTTTAGTAAAAAAAGTGCACCTTTTATGCCGTCAAATATGGTAACTTCTCTTGTTTGCAGAGAACTCCCCCAACTTAGGACACTGTAGCTCTGGCAAGATTTATACTATACAACAATTGAAAAGATTATAGGGTTTAGAATAAACTCTAGTGCAGGTTTATGGAATCAATGATCCCAAGTAAGATATATATTTAAAAAAAGGCTCATTGCTTGCCATGCTTGACAGATTTAAGGAAGATTATGGTCTTGCAATGGAGTGAAATTATGGCTGATGTAAATAAATAAAAGTTAGAGAATCTAAGCAATATATTTACCCACAAACTAGAATAAAATTCAATATGCAGAATTAGTAAATACTAAATACTGTAAACAAGAAAAGAAAAAAAGAATTGATAATAAAAGAAAAAGTTACCTTCTTGGTGTAGTTTCACGGCTTGGAGGTTGAATCACTTCTCTCAAAGCTGCAAGAAAGGAATTTTTATATTTTTTTTTATAAAGTTAATAAAATTCAAATTAATTAATCTCAAGCTATTCTATTTTATATATATATATATATATATATATATATATATATATATATATATATTTGTATATTTAGGCAGCAATCCTTCCTTTATGCATGTTTCATTAAAAACGACAGACAAAAGGTACTACGGTTTGAGCTTTTTATTTAATTTTTCTTGTGTTCTGACAAGAGCTTTCTTTTCTGGACAAAGAGTGTGTAAGAACTGTCCAATGTTCTGTGTTTCCGAGCTTTCGGCTACCTTTAGCCATTATCAAGGATGATTCAATTATCAGCTTAGTAGAGTGTGTGTGTTTCTGTGTATGTTCAGTGTTCAATATAATTGAATCATCCTTGATAATGGCTAAAGGTATAGCCAAAGCGCTCGGAAACACAGAACATTCGGACAGTTCTTACACACTCTTTGTCCAGAAAAGAAAGCTCTTGTCAGAACACAAGAAAAATTAAATAAAAAGCTCAACCCGTAGTACCTTGTCTGTCGTTTTTAATGAGCAACATATATATATATATATATATATATATATATATATATATATATATATATATATATACACACATGTATTATGTGTGTGTATATATATATTGTTGTAATGGGAAAGAACAGTTAGATTAATGATCCAAAGTCCTTTAGCATTTATATTTTTATTTTTAAAAAAATCAGTGCTTGATACAGAAGTAGAGCTTAAATTATAATTACTTTTTTAAAAAATTTGATTCCATCGCGACACAGAAATTACTGTTTCAAAACTTGATTCAAGTACTAAAGTATAATTTCTATATTAAACTTATAATTTCGAGTGCAGTTTCATTCTCAGTTGATGTTCTAAACATTGCTTGAGAATGAAAGTGTACTCTAAATTTTAAGTTTAATATTAAGTCAAGTTTCGAAACAAAGTAATGGAATCATATTTTTTAAGAAAATAATTATATATGAATGTATGTATGTATGCCTGAGATAACTATATATATTTTTATATATCATGAACAATATCAAGAAAATTGTATGAGAAAGTGGAAAAAGTTTACTTGTGATATGATTCATGCTTCAGGACTTCATCGGACTAAATTTGTTATATTTGTATCACTACAATAGTGCATGAAGCAGTGATTTTAGAATTTTTTAGATCTTTATTTAATTAAATTCATTTAGAGTCTTTTTCTTTTCCTCTCCATCACTTTTGTTAGTAGGTATCCCACATTGTGATAATAGAAGATCTGCCAAGAATGATGAAATGCTGAAAGAACCAGTGCGCAAATTTACTATGATCAAGGCACTCTCTAAACATTTACATCGTAGTGAATTGTAGCATTTTTTATGTTAGAATTGAGTTCAAACTTTTTCCACTTTGTCATACATATATATATGTGTGTGTGTGTCTGTATGTGTAAATTATTTTCAGATCTGTAAAGAAACAAAATTAATAAAAATAAGAGGAAAAACTATTCTTAACCATGTTTTGTCTGTTGAGGGACTTTATCAAGGCCATATTTATTATTTGATAAAGAGGAAAAATTCATCAACGAAGAATAATTTTTCCTCTTGTTTTTATATATATATATATATATATATATATATATATATATAGACATTGTTTTTAAATTATGTAATACTTTAAAAGAATGTGCTCATTTTTAAAACAATATATAAATTCTATAAATTCTGTGGTATAAAATTTTTGTTCATATATATTTTATTACTTCAAATATTATTATTATTGCATACACATAAATGAGTAGACACAGTATCTTTTTCTTTTAAACAGTGTGTTTAGTGGCCATTGCACTCAAGAAAATTTACTAATGGTAATGTGCCTTTAGACAGGATTCAAACCTGCACCACCCTTTGCACAAAAATCTACCATCTAATCCAGCATGCTTTTACCCTATCGGCTACGACAAACTTTACAATCAAATAAAGTTTCTATTTTGATTCACTTGTTCAGATTTTTCTCAAATGTCATATCTACTCAGTTTCGTATCTAAAATATAGTCAGTCAGTCAGTTATGTGCCATACACACTTAGGTGATCATGTATCTTTCGACACATGACTGATAAGGCAGATTTTTTTCCACAGTAGCTTGCCATTTCTTTCTGCAGTAGACCAGTTACCATCCAAAGCTATCGAGCCCAGTCTATCCTTCAATTTACCCGTAGCTGGGTGGAGAAGAGTATTCATACCTTTCCCAAGGGTATTAGCCCATAAGTGAATGTAATGGATCTGAATGGAATTTGAACTCAGCTCTCTGAGTTCTCAATCCAAGACACTATCCATTACACCACCATGCTTAGCTATTTCTTTTCTAAAAAATTAATATTTTGTTTTATTTTTTTACTCCGACATATTTTATTACTTTAAATATTATTATTAGTGAATATCCACACACATATATATATATATATATATATATATATATATATATATATATATATATATATATATATATATATATATTATTAATATATATATTTAATGAAAAACAAGAGACCACTTTAAGGTACCATTAATAGTACCTTAAAAGTGGTCTATTTTTTATTAAATATTAGCTCTGTATTCATTGAGCTCTCAGTATTTCATCCTCCTTGGAATTACCCATTCAGTTTACCAAGTTCTCTGTAACTTAATTAATTATTTATTATATATATATATATATATATATATATATATATATATATATATATATATATATATATATATTATATATTATTATATTATCCCATATATATATATTATATCTTTTTTATCTTTTTACAGTAAAGTTCACCATTTACAAGGCCCAGGGACCACTTGAGGTAAATGGTTATGTTTGGACGCTATTTGTGTTGGAAGATAGAAGATAACGGTTAATCATAGCCTTGAACAGGAGTGGACAACAATGATTAACCCTGGTCTTGAACAAGTTAAGATTGTAGTGACTGGGGAAACATCCTGTTGGGAGTCAGTTTCACAGGACAGTGGTTTGTGGGAAGAAGCTGCTCAAGTGGAAATTACTTTCACACCGATGGAATACAAAGGGGATGTGGGTGGTTTGTTACTATGTTAGTCACATGGCATTTTCTTGCTGTGAAGGTTTGCCTCAACATGACCAAGGAAATGTAGTTTGCCCAAGCACTTTCCATGGAAGTAGCAGCAGAGCAGTATTATATATATATATATATATATATGAAGAAAAATTTTGAAAAAACAAACAAAATCCTTAAATGTTGTTTAAAATGAATGAAATGTCAACGTCTGACGTTTCGGTTTAATAAACCTTTTTCAAGACAATATTCATTAAAATACAATACAGTTGAATATGATGGACATAAAAAAAACACAAGTCTTATCCAAAACAGATAACTGTATTGTATTTTAATGAATATTGTCTTGAAAAAATTTATTAAAACCAAAACGTCAGACGTCGACATTTCATTCATTTTTAAACAACATTTAAGGATTTTGTTTGTTTTTTTTCAAATTTTTTCTTCATTCTGTCGGATTTATATCCATTTACACTTGCTTATATATATATATATATATATATATATATATATATATATATATGTCTAGCAAAGCATCACATGTTGTTTGTATTTTGTCAGATTTTATGGTGCTGACTACAGAGTTATCTCGTTCTTGGCATTTTCTGACACATTTTTCATCTACAGGCACCAACAACATTCGTAGTAATACTTTTATTATGAAAACAACGTTATTTGAAACCATAAATTTAATAAACTATAAATTTTATGATCAACTTTAAAATAATAATTAATATTATTAAAAATATCTTTAAAATATATTAAAAAAATGAAAATTACATTAAAAATTAAATTAAATTGAATTAAAATTAAATAAAAATTAAATAAAAATAAAATAAAAATTGAATTAAAAACTAGAATTAAAAACATAAAAATATATAAAAATATATTAAAAATATGTTAAAAAATATATATTAAAAATATATATTAAAAATTATATTAAAAATATGTTAAAAAATATATATTAAAATATATATTAAAAAGTATATTAAAATATATATTAAAACATATATATTAAAAATATATTAAAAATATATTAAAATATATAAAAAAAATATATTTAAAAAGATATTTAAAAATAACTATAATAATTTTATAATAAACTATCAATTTTATAAGCAATGTTATTTGATGCTATAAATCAACTCATAAAAAGTTTTTTTTGTCGTCTAAGTCAGCTATTATAAAATTGGTCACATTTTGTAATTGACCTCTGGAGGTTAATATATTAATAAACATGCTCACTTTTTTTCTAATATTTTTTTCATCAAATTCTAAGTTCAAAGCCATAATTTAAACATGAAATTTAATTTAAATGTCTACTTACGTTCAACCTTCAGCATAACAACTTCTTCACGGTGTCCAAAGGAGTTTTCAGCACGTACACAATATTCACCCTTGTCTTCCATCTTAAGTCGACTAATCTTTAATTCATATTCATTGCCCATGTATTTTTGCATGTACTTAACACTCTGAGGCAGATTGGTATCATCCTTCATCCTGTGTAACAAGACACAAAACAAAGTCCGTTAAATATTGAATCTGTTGGATTATTGTCCTTGACAATAATGAAATGTGGTACAAAATTTGAAAGCAAAGTGACAAGACTGTTTCTTTTTAACTTCAATAGACACACTTACTAAAGATTGTATTAAACTGCTCATAGTTTAAACTTTGTTTTTTATATTACCTTTCTGTAACATGTCTGGTTGATACATGTTTTATGTTTTGTTTTTACCAGGACTCATATGAGTCCACCAAATATTGTTTGCAGGACAAATGTACCTGAAGGCATATAATGAATAACATCCATTCTCACAACAAATCAAATATCAAAAAACAAGAAAACAATTTCAAAGACAGAAAGTATGAAAATAAGAAACTAATTTATTTCAGCTTGACTATCAATTACCAAGCACATGATCCTGGACAAAGACTATTGGTTTCAATTCATTAGGGAATTACTGCAAAATACTTTTCCCTCTCCAATTTATAAGCAGAAGCATGCAAATGCATGTTGGATTTCTTCATAGCCAATAAGATAGGCCTCTTGTTGGTTTCATATGGATCAGTCCCGGTCTGTCATGTCTTGAATTCAGAACACTATGTTCAATTATCCAAATTTGCTCTTGTGTGCAAACCCAAATTTTTAGTTTGTGAACTTTTTGCCATATTACTGTTGCTTTGCCTTATAACTGTTAATTTGCCTTATAACTGTTAATTTGCCTTGTATATATTGTTTGCTTCTTTTATATTATTTTTTGCCTTACTTATTTTTATTTTTATTGTTATTGCTTATTGCAAAATTTGTCAGTTCTGTTTGTTAGACAGTTCTGTTACTTATTTTGCATTTGACAATGGCCTCTCACTCTACAAAGACAAGGACTTAAATTAAGCAGTTGACTAAATGGTATTGATAAGCAAACATACAGTGCTAACAATTATGGTGGCAAAGAATTAATTCAAAGTAACCCTTTTAAAATTTCTCATAATACACAAGAACAAAACTTTGATTTTAAAAATACCTCACAGTTAAAAAAAAGTACATAATTCTTTGTCAAAAATACTTTGATGGAATCCTGATGAATATTTTATCAACTATAGAGAAACATCAAAAACACTATATTACATCAGTCAGTCAGTTATGTGCCATACATGATACACGCTTAGACAATCATGTATCTTTCAATACATGACTCACAAGGCAGATTTTTTTCCCACAGTAGGTTTCCATTGAAGGCTATAGAACCCAGTCTATCCTGCTATTTATCCATTGCTGGGAGGAGAAGAAAAGGATTCATATCTTTCCCAAGTGTATTAGCACATAAGTGAATATAATGGATTTGACTGGAATTTGAACTCGGCTCTCCGATTCTTCAATCCAAGCTGCTATCCATTACTCCAATGTATCACCATACCTTATTAAATCCATTCGTAAAGTCACAACCAGTGTTTATGTAAAAATGTCCCTAAACCAACATGTGGACAACCACCAAATATAAATAATGTCTACTATACACACACTTACAAATATACATTATATATATATATATATATATATATATATATATATATATATATATATCACCCAAATCCTACAGATAAAACTAGAATTATGATACACTTATATACATAAAGCAATATTTATGTTTTTACAGTTAGACTTGTAATCCATTAAATTTTTAGCTTTGAAAAGACGTGTCATCTCTCCTTTAGTTCAAAACACCATAAATTATACTAACATTGTTTAGCAAGTCAAATGCATGTGAACCCTACTTAAACAATGAAAATCAAACAACACAAAAATAAAAATACCAGAATTTCTTTTTTCTCTATGTCTCCTTAATAAAAGCGAAGCATATTAGCTTGATAATTTTTTTTTTCTCTTTTAGAAAACCATGACATGGAAGAAACGATTAGATAGCTTACCAAGTGACGATGGGAGCGGAAGCAGCAATAATCCTGCAATCAAATTTGGCAATTTGTCCTTCCCCAGCAAGAACATTACGGGGTTTACGAACAAATCGAGGAATAGCTTCACGACGATCTGAGGAAAGAAAACAAATATGCATAAGGAATTACAGATACACCTTAGTCTAATATGGCACAAGGCTAAAATAGTAGAGCACCCAATGAGTATCAAATTCATAATAGCTCAACAGACTATCTTTCTAATTATTACTCTATAGTCTGTGTGTTTACAATTGCATAAATATAGCCTAGACTTACACTAGTTTGCCACAAGGCTCAAATGTAAACTGAGTACTATCATAATGGCTTTCAAGAATATTTTCGTAACGTTTACTTTACGGCAAAAGCAGTAAAAATATTCCAAGACATTAGTTCTTTGAATGAAATTGTTCCAAATATGCAAAAAATAACAAACAGCAAACTTTTTCCTGAATCATTTAGGCATGCTGTAAAAATGATGGCATATTTTGTGTAGTCCTTTATATTAAAATAAGGTTTTCAAATTTGAGCCTTTAAATATCTTATTTTGAATTATCATACTGATATGTAGTAATTCTTTGAGTGCACACATTTGAGTTTCTAAATATTTTCCCCGTTATTGTATTAATATATAGTAAATCCTTGTAGGGATAGGTTTATTATTTATAATAATGATATAAAACCAAACCCCAACTTTATGTCTAGTAGAATCATATGTTAAAAAAAATCTGAATAAAACATAATTACCAAAGTAGCTGTCGTATATCTGGTATTCCTTTGGCCTGTGTTTACGCAGGGAGCTGAAGTTTGCAATACGACCAATGGCTGGCATTGGTTGAGGCCAGTCAGCCTACAGAAGATAAAGAAATGAATTAGCAAGATGAAAGACAAAGATAAAGTGTTATGATGAAAATGATATGATGAAAAGCAAGCAGTTTAGAATGTACAATATTACTTATTTGTTTAATAAAAAGGACTTTACACAGACTTTTATATTAAAAATGATATAAAAGGAAGATTTAAAAATCCAGTTAGATCAGGATCAAACTGGTATAATAAAAAAAAAAGCAAGCATTTTAAGAATTATCTTCTCTGTATAATTAACCAATAAAACTGTGGTTTATGATTGAAATGTGGTTTATGATCAAATGAATAAAAGTTGATTGCAGTGGGATCAAAGTGTAATGATACAGAAGATGCTTATCTCCCTTTGTTGGAGATAACTCACATAGGTCACATGACAACAGCTTTGTGACATCACTCCATACAGTGACCAAGCAGCAGTCATTTTTCAGTTTGTGGACAGCAACCAAATGAGAAGGTTGCTTTCTTCTAGCCTGGGTCCTTTGCTCTAGGCTGAGGCTAAATCTGCCTCTTCCAGTAGCTTACAGGCACATGGTACTGTTTCCCTTTGGGAGATAAATGAATCCAGCCCATTTAAATTTGAACTCATAACAATGGCTTCTCCAGGTCAGGAGTATCTCCAAATTATATATAATACCTTTTCTTTTTGTTCTTAAATATATGTGATATATAGTTCTTCATGCGGAATATATATATATATATATATATATATATATATATATATATATATATATATGGTGGACTCTCCTATCATTTTACACTTATGCATGCTAGCAGGGGCTATATTGTTTTACACTTATGCATGCTAGCAGGGGCCATTGTGGAGAAAATCAGGTAAGGGAAAGACATATTTCATTTGTGCTTTCTTAATTGTGATACTAGCCCAGCCTTGCTGCAGGCAACAAAGCCACTCTGACAGATGAAATTTGTTAAAGCTGGAATTTGATGGAGTCTCTGCTTCAGAGCTTGACGAAGCTGATCACGGTGTTTCAGTGTACTGTCTTCAAAACCCTTTAACTTAATGAAACATATCCAGATACCATAGAAGATGCTTAGTTTTCAGATCAAAGTTGAGATATTTCAAGTTGTCTTTCAATTTGTCTTTGTAGTGAACATCCAACTGAATGCTTGGAGTTTGGTAGTTGTCCATACACCCCCTTTTTCGGAAGCCTATGTTCATCCATTCTCACAACATGACCATCCTACCTAAGTTGTATCTTTGCTATATATATATATATATATATATATATATATATATATATATGGCTTTGTATGTGTCTTAGTATTATACAAGTCTCTTTGAAAATAATGCATGTTTGTCATTCTTTTTTCTTTCACCCATTCCATTCTGTGAACTATGGTGCTATTATATCATGGTTATAATAATGCCTGTCATGGGAGAAACTTAAAAGGGAGAATAAATCTTTCTTCCTAGCCCTGTCATTACAATAGAATTATTGTGAATTCTGCAATCATTTCGTTAGTTGCATAGTATATGCTTTGCCAGGCTACATCTTACATTTGCCATGTGCTATTTTCAAATGTCTCTTCTTGATGTTAAGTATGAACGTTCTTTTTTTCCCATTCAGTCTAAAACTTCATTGTTGTTCACATGTGCATTCTATAGTATTCTCAGCATCCTTCTGTAGAACCACATTTCTGTTGCTTCAATCTCTTTTTTTGTGAATAGTGTTCAGCAGTCACTGAAATATAGGAGGACTTTACTCAAGCTCACTAGGTAGGTTACACACTGTTTTCCTCTGTCCCTCCTACCCTCAATCAGTCCTGTGAGTATCAGATTTTCCAAGCCGTCTTTCCTCATTATTTGTCCCAGAAATTTCAAATATCTCTTCTTGATATTAAGTCTAAGTGTCCTTTTTGCTTCCATTTTCCCTAAATCTTCATCATTCCTCACATGTTTATTCCATGTTATTCTCAGTATCGCGTTTTGAATTGTCCTTCTCCTTGACTGGTTGCCAACCAAAGCAAAAGATTCCAGTCTGCTCAACTATTTAACATAGTTGGAGGCTTTGAATTCAGAGTTGTCCTTCTCCTAAACCAGTTGCCACCCAGACTATAGGGTTTATTTACACATAGCTGGGTGTGTGAGAAGTGATTTATTCATACGTTTCCCAAGGGTATTTGCATGTAAGTGAATAATTAAGATAGATGATGGGAAAAACATTACTTAGCCTTGCAAAATGTTGTTAGTTACTCAAAATTTATAAAACACTCATAAATATTCATCAGGTTAAATTACATCACTTAGCATCCTCAAAAATTAAAAAAATGTAAAAAACAAGAGACATAAAGTTAAGTAAATATGAAAAGATACAGTGAGGAACATTTTCCTCATCATCACAATAATTTTAAACTCAAGTTTTTGTATATGATGTTCCATCTGGATCCCAGTAACCATAGCCCCATTTGTGAAAGTCTTTTTTATCCATTTTTGCAAATCAACATATTTAGTATGTTTTTGTAAAGTATGGATTTGCTTCTTGATATCTTAGCTGGATGAATTTTATATTATATTCTGTTCGTGATTACCATGAGATAAAGAATTACTATCTTCTTCATTGTCAAAGTAATCTCTGTCAGAATGAGCAGATATTAATAGCATTTTTGACTGTGTGTTTTTGTTTCTCATGGTGACATATTAGCGAATATAACAGACTCGACTGGAATATGAACACAGCATTTTGAGTCTTTGACCTAACCTGTTATTCACTACTCAGCTCTTTGATAATTTCATCTGAACTGCTATCCATTACTCCACTCTCTGCTTCTTTGATCTGAACTGCTATCCTTTACTCAGCTCTCTGATACTTTAATCTGACCTGCTGTCCACTACTCAGCTCTTTGATTCTTTGATCTGAGCTGCTGTCCATTACTTAGTTCTTTGATACTTTGATCTGAGCTGCTATCCATTACTCAGCTCTCTGATTCTTTGATCTGAGCTGCTGTCCATCACGCCACCATACCTCCCACCAATATGTGGTTTCATTTAGACCAAATTGCTTGTCTTGGTTTGTTTGTTTATTTACTTGTACATCATAGAGGTTGAAAGATGGTCCTTGGTGTGACATATATGTTGAAGAAGGCACATATGTGTCTCCAGTATAGAATTCGACAACCTTCTCGAACACAACAGATACTTGAGTCAATCAGATATCATACAAGTTGAAAAGTTTGTGTTTTTGATAATATTTCATCCATATACCCTCTGGTCTTTCTCAGGTATCAGACATGAATGACAAATCAACTCTTGGCATTCCTCGTTCATGCACAAGTGTAGTCACACCAACATAACAAATTTAGTCCAATGAAGACCTAAACAACAAAATGCATTACACAAAAAGCATTTTACACTTTGTCATACATTTTTTACCAATATTGTTATTGATATATAAAATATATATCGTTATCTCATATATATATATATATATATATATATATATATATATATATATATATATATATATATATATATATATTCAAAGATATTGTTAAATATAACAGAAAATGAATGATTACTGTGTTCTCATGAGCAGTTCCAAGTGCTGTATAATGGCTTTAGTTTCAAGAGAAATAAAAACAAAAACTGTCCAACATTTGGATGTATCTTTATCATATTGGTCGTCAATCTAGGGTTTTGGCTCACAATGAGCCATCATCAGAGTGAATAACAGAAATGTTCAGTATCAAGGATGACATCCTGTTTTGTTTACATAGAAATTTCCTATACAATGACAGCCAATATGATAAAGAAATATCCAAATGTTGGTCAATTTTTTCTTTATTTTCTCTTGAAACTAAAGCCATTATATGACACTTGGAAAGGCTCATGATAAAACATAATAGATATCCATTGTCTGTTATATTTAACACATATGTTTGAATAATGATCTGCTGCCCCTACACTACATATATATATATATATATATATATATATATATATATATACATATATATACATATATATATATATATATATATATATATATATATATATATATATATATATATATATATATATATATATATATATATATATATATATATATATATATATATATATATATATATATATATATATATATATATATATATATATATATATATATATATATATATATTTGCACACACACACACACATATATGTGTACACACACATATAACACATTTATGCCTATAATGGCCAGGTATTTGTTTCTGAGCACACCTGTCAGCTGCAGACAGCTGCTCAGGCACATTTGTGTATCTTCAACACCCACCAATCCCAACTGTGGCTGATACTACAAAAATGCTTAGTGAACCTCAGTTACAGTTTCTGTAAGAAAGTGCATAATCTGGTGTGATCAACAGTTTGAACAAGGCCTTTACTCTCAAACCCTCAATCACACTGACTTGTGAATATGTGCTAACACAATCATCAATGGCTTCTAAATAGTTCCATTTACGCAATTTTACTCAGAAGGCTTGTGTCAATCAGTGGTTTGGTTTTCAGGCCCTTTTCAAAAGTGTGGCAAACCGGGATTGCCTCCTCAGGCTGTTAGCATCAAGAAGTTACTTCTCTGACAAATTGGACATGGTAAGATTCGAACCTGGATCTCATGGTTAGAAAGTTAACATTCTAATCACTAAGGCATATACATACATACATACATACAAGGTGTGATGAGTAAATTATTGCCATTTTATATTTTTAATTTTACACATGCATGTTGATTGTTTTTGATTTTGTTGACTGCACAGTATAGTAGGGTCAGTTGGGCACCAATAAATGAATATAGCATACATTTAATATATATATATATATATATATATATATATAGATAGATAGATAGATAGATAGATAGATAGATAGATAGATATAATAACTGTGCAGTAATCCGTCTTTTATACAAGTTTTGTTACTGTGGTTATGTTTTTTATATAATTTTCCTTGTGTTCTAAAATATATTTGTGTCATTATATATATAT